TATATGTTTGGAAATGATAACTAAACTTTACAAATCTCAAATTCAATAATTGATACAATCTAATCATCCAACTCAGGCCTTGCAGTGTTAGTTGGATAAAACATCTTTGTGGATGTAAATTAGAATACGCTGCTTAATTCATCTAAAAGCTCATCAAGTGGAGGTTTCATGAACATAATTGCTGATTAAAATTGTTATGTTAATATAAGTGAATCAGCAATTAAGAATGGCCTATCTAACATATCAGGCGGCATAGCCTAAATATAAGCTACCAATATCTACTTGACTATATAAACTTCAACACTTAGTAATCATTTTGCTACTTCAAATGGAGCTGCTTTTGATTTGAATTCTGAGCAAAATACTTCTATTTCAATTTAACGTAACTCAGTTTTTACAAAACTTGCAAGCAATAAAAGTGGAAGTTTTGCCAATGTATTTTCTCAAAATGTTATAGTTAATATTGAAGGTTTAACTTCATCTGAAGTAACTGCTAATGAGAATGGTGGCTTTTTGGCCTTTCTTTTCAGTTCTAGATTGGATATTATTCTTAGAAATTCGAGGTTTTAGTAATTCAGCTCCTTAAAGGATGGCTAATTTTTATTTGCGATGAGTGAATCGGAAAATAGCAATATAACTCTAAGCATAAAGGATTCTTAATTTCAAAGTGGATTCTATTCATACTAAACAATAGATTCTCCGACATATACTCTTGTTTAGGATTATATAAGAAATCAAAACTATAACTCTTCAAGAGCATTTTATTTTTCAGAAAAGATTCACATCTCAATTTATTCAGCTAGAAATAAATTTACAGATTTAATTGTTTCTAATGCCTCATCTTATTTCTATTTGACTGAAAAAATATAATTTCTAGATGAAAACTCCAGATTTGAAAGAAACGCTGCATTATATGGTTAAATTTACTGTTAAAATTGCAATGCTTCATTCTTTCAGACTTAATTTAATGATAACTATGCACTTAATGGAGGTGTGTTCTATCTTGAAGGCCAAGTTGATATAAAACTAATTGGAATATCTATGAATAATAATGTAGCTGCTTAGAGTGGAGGAGCAATATTTATTATAGGGGAAAATTAATCGAAGCTCAGCATTATGGATTGCGTAAAACCAATAGCTAATCACTATGCCTTTGATAATGGAGGATTCTTATACTCCTCTAATAAAAATCTAGAAATAGAAATTAAAAACTGCTCATTTTTAAATATCAGTTCATTAATATCAGGTGGGGTATTCTAAATTGAAAGTGCCTAAAGCATAAATTTAGATACATTAATCGTGAAAAATATTTCTAGTAATAGAGGATCATTTTTAATATCAAAGTTTCAAGGTCTAAACATAATTATATCTAACTCAGATTTAGAGATGAATCCAAAATACTCTAGTACTTTGTCTATTTTAATATCCCTAAATCAAGCAATATAAGGCTTGCTAATAAAATTACTTTGTCGACTCTTTGGCTATAAAATTAAGTGGAAACCCAAGAATAATAGTAAGCAGTTTATTCAAAGTTAGGTACCTTGATAATTTTATAAGATTCAGATTAAGTTGTTTCAAGAAATAATAAATTTAAGAAGTGCCAGTCATTTGAGAATGGTGGAGTTTTTAACTTAAAAGATATAAATGCATTTTATGATCAAGAATCAACTTATTAAGAAAATGAGGCAAAGATTGGAGGAGCAATTATTATATAAAACACTACAGCTCTCTTTAATAAAACAAAATTTACCCAAAATATTGCTATTTAAGGAGGAGTGATACAAATAAATGAGGATAGCATATTAAGATTGATTGATGTTTAAAATATCAATTCTTCATCATTAAATAATGGTGGGTTTGTCTGTGCTATTGATCAATATAATTAAGACAAGCAAATTAATATTCTAATTTAAGGTAATAACTCGCAGATATTAAATTCAACCTCATTATAAGGTGTGGGTGGAGTATTCTATTTAAATGGAACTCAAATATCTTTAGTTGTCGAAGATTCTTTGAGAGTAATTTAAAATACAGAGGATACAACTAAAACTAGTGATTTCATTAATGCTGTTCAGGCTTTTGAAATTATCCTGAATAATCTAAGCATTTATAATTCTTGAAATTAAGATTTTAATGCAGGTTCAGTTATTACTTCACTAACAAAAAATATAAAACTTGAATTGAGAAATTCAACAATTAAATGTCAGGACAAGCTTAAGATAGATGATATCTTTTCAATTAACACTTATCACAGCTCAGCCTTTTATATCAAAGATAGTGAATCAGGTTTTTAAGCTTTTAACAATACTTATGTGAATTGTGGAAATGGATATTAAGGAGGAGTATTTAGTCTTATCAATACCCATCTGAATCACACAGGCTTTTCTTAATTTTTCAATAATTCTGCATTTTAAGGAGGTGTGATTTTTAGTTTTAACTCAAGTGTCAACTTGGAAAACGCTATAATTTAATATTCTAGAGCTATTTATGGAGGATTTATATATACATAGGGCAAAACTCAATTCAATCTGACTGATATCAATATTTTCAGCAGTAAATCAAAACAATAAGGAGGATTTATTTATTCATAGGCTTTTGATAAGAAATAAGAGATGGAATTTTAAAATCAAGACTCTTACTTTAATTTCTCTGGAATAGTAATTATTGATTTATTAGAAAGTTATTAAAATGGAGGTGGGTTTTATTTAAACAATCCAACACTTGACATTTGGATGAATAATGATCCAATAAAGATATCTAATGTTTCTGCAACCATGGGAATTGGAGGGATATTTTATGTTAAATAAGCTAGAACAATTCACATTACAAATTCAACTTTCATAAATTATTACTCAAGGTAAAATGGCTCGTTTATGTTTTCAGAATCTTAGGATCTTTAACTGATAATATAAAATAATGTATTTAATTGCTAAGAAGATGAAATAGATGATTTCATGTCTAGTGAGGATTTTGGATTATAAGGAGGGTCAATTATGATTATTAATGCTATAATTGCAGTGTAATCAGGATATAATGTATTTTAGAAATGCTATAAATGTGATAAAGGAGGTGCATTCTCTTTAATCAATTCAAGTTTAATAGATTAGAGTAGTTTCTTCAATAATATGAGCGCTTTTGAAGGAGGATCTATTTATTGCTATAACTGCTTCATCTCATTAGAATCATCTTACTTTGAGAGTAATTATGCCTCAGATGGTGGTTAGATTAAAATTGATTGAAAGATAAGAGGACTAAATTCTTTTAATGTAACTTTTAGAAACTCTTAGGCTGATGTTAGGGGAGGAGTTTTTAATATTTGGGATGGCTTTGAGTCATCAAATGAACAAGTAAATTTAACATTAGAAAATATTACAGTAATTAATACTTTTGCTGCAAAAGGAGGAGTTTTTAGTATTAAGATGGATACACTCTACCTGATCATTAGCAACATTACTGTTGAAAATGCAGGAGCAGTTGAGGGAGGTGTCTTTTTTATTTGGGATATAACTTCTTTGATTCTCTCAAATATAACTGCTAATAGATTGTTTGTTTACAATGATTACACTTTTCTTACAATTTATGGGGAAAATTCGTACTTTCACTTTTCAGATGTTAATATCAGTGGTGGAAGCAACTTGCTAGATGAAGATTAATTGTGGTATCTTGAGGGCTCAATTCTTTCAAACTAACGATTTTAGGGGACAACTATGCTAATTTATTAATGTTCTTAGGTAATATTTGAGAGAGTCAGTATTAAAAATAGCTTTCTTGGATATACAGGTGGGACATATTATCTTACTAGTGTATAGAATTTTTCTGATACTAATTCTACTTATACAAATACTGCTGCAATTTAAGGAGGTTTTATGTTTAGTCAAGGTTCAACAGTAAGGATGTCAAATATTGTGATTCAAAATACTCTAGCATTATAAGGAGGAGTATTTTATTTAGATAGTAGTTCTTAGACATACTTAGATAATTGCACATTTATTAATTCAAGATCATTAGCTAATGGAGGTTTTATGTATTCTTATGCTGATAGTTCTTGGTATTACCCATTTTTTAAAGTTATAATAGTGTCCTCTATTTTTAATAAAATTTATGGATAAAGTAGCGGTGGAGCATTCTATCTAGATAATGTTTATCTTTCATTAGAAATAATTCAAAGTTAGTTTAGTGATATAAAATCTGATATTGATGGTGGAATATTTTTTGTCAACCAATTAAGAAGTGATATTATTATAAGAAATAACTGCTCATTTGCTGATTTTAGAGTCAGTGACAATTAGGAAGGCTCATTATTATATTCAATATCAGATACATTAATCTTATTAATAAGTAATTCATAAATAAAGAGTAAAGATTATTTTAATTAAGAAGATGTAGATTATTTCATGGATCAAGGAAAAAATATTGGAGGAAGTCTCTTTTATATTAAAAATGCTGCAAAAGCTAATTTTACTTAAGTAAAGTTAGAAAATGCTTTTGGAGCTAAATATGGTGGAATATTATAAGCAATTAGCACTCAAATTTACATAATAAAATCAGAATTTTCAAATATTTTTGCTATAAATGGTGGAATTCTATATCAACTTAATTCAACTGTGTTTATTGAAAGCTCAAGCTTCTCAAGCATAAAATCTTAATATGGAGGAATATTTTATGCAAATGATCATTCATTCATTCAAGCCTACAATTCAATCTTTGAAAATACAGAAGCAGAAGATAGAGGAGGAATAATTTCAGTTTAGTTAGAATCTAATCAAAATAAATAACCAAGTAATTACTTATTTCAAAATTGCAAATTTACGAATATCATATCTAAATCAGGTGGCTTTGCATATTTTGATAACAAAAAAGCTTCAATGTCTATCTTAACCTCAGAATTCAAAAATATTAGAGGATATTATAATGGAGGCTTATTTCTATCTCTAAATATTTAAAGCATGACGATTGACCAATCAACCTTTTAGAATTTATTTTCAAACCGTTCTTCGATCTTGGATTCATCATCATAGGAATTTTAGCTTGCAATATCAAACTCTAAATTTATCTGTGACATTAATTTCGATACAACTTTAGTCCCAGATTAGTTGAACACTACAAATCCTATCTATAATAATGAACACACAATCAAAATATCTAAAGCATAATATGTAAATTTGACTAAGAATTCATTTAAGTTATGCGGTGTAACTTCAGAAGGAGGTGTTTTTTCTATTTCTGATACAACCTTGATTGATAATGGATCTACATATGATAGTAATTATGCAATTCAAGGAGGGGTAATTCAAGGTACTCAGGCTTAAATAGATATCAGAAATTGTAAATTTATTAATAATAAGGCCAAAAGAGGTGGAGTTTTTAGTTTAAATAGTGCATCACAGATTAATATCACAAGTTCTAATTTCTAGGAGAATTATGGATATTATGCATCAGGGGTTCTAAATCTGGAGACAAGTTCTGTAGCAATTGTGTAAAACAGTAAATTTTTATAAAATGTGGCGTCTGACAGTTCTGTAATGCTAGTGATGGAGGGCTCAAAAGATCAAAACATTACATTCACAAGATGTATATTTGAATCTAATTTTGCTTTGAAAAATACCATATCAGTTCTCCAAGCAAATATGTTGATTGAGGACTCCCAATTTTTACAAAATACTGCTACAGAAAGAAGTAAAAATATTTTTGCAGGATTCTCTTCAATCTATATTTTTGACACTATATTTAGAGGAGTAACTTATAAGAATATATCTAAACAGCTTCTCATAGATTAATCTTTTGGAAGCTTCATTTTTATTATACTTGATGTAAAGCTCTACATAAATAACGGGAAATTTATAAATGGATTATCTAAACAAGGAGGTGCAATATTTATTACAGGTGATTCGTAGATAGATATCCTTAAGTGTTAATTCAGCGATAATCATGCTTTTTAAGAAGGTGGTGCAATATTCTCCTCAGGCTTTGAATACCTCAACATCTTACAGGATTCTAAGTTCTAAAACAATAGAGCTAATGAAACAGGTGATGATATTTATGTAACGAATACATTAGGCAAATTGCTTATTGAAAACACAAATTTCAAGAATCCAGGAGCATCTCTGTCAATTTATGCTGCGAATCTCGCTCTTTCAATGAGTAAGGTTACTATGACAGATATAGGAATAGAAAATGAGGTTCATTAATACGGTTCTGCCTTATATTGCCTTGATTGCAAAACTATCTTAATTTCTGATTCTGAATTTAAAAATATGAAAAGTTACTTAGGAGGAGCATTTTATATTGAAGAGTTAACATAAAATAAGGTTAATTCTCTACAATCAGCAAAATATTTGATATAAAACTCTAACTTTGCCTATTGCAGATCTGTCACTGGAGGAGCACTCTTTTTGTTAAATGTTGAGAAAATGTAAATATCTAATTCAAAATTTGTCAGTAATGAAGTGGTTAATAGCACAGCAGATAATTACTACAAATATCATGGCTCAGGTGGCGCAATTTATTTTGAGTGTACAGATTAAAACTATAACTGTGAACTAACCATCAATGGCAATTCAGAATTCAAAAATAATTTCGCTACAAGATAAGGAGGAGCAATACACTGGGAGTCATTAGAACCAATTATGTCTGGAGATGTTTTATTTTAGAATAACCTTGCAATTTAGTATGGAAATGATCTTTCATGTTTCGCCCAAAGAATAATAAAAATTGATCAAGATACTTATTCAAAAATAATGTAGTAATTAGGTATCGAATCTAGGAGATTAAGATCCCTTTAATAGAATTATACATATTCAAGTGAATTGATAGTGCCGGTATCAGCATAAATAGAAAGTTAGAGAAGTGGAGGAACCATGCCAATAATATATATTGCCTTAGTAGATAAATATGGATAAATTATTGGAATCGATTAAGTAAGCAAAGTAAGAGTAAACATAGATTCATCAAAAGTATTAAGTAGCTAAGCATAAACATACCATCCAATTATTGAAGGATAGTCTTAATTTTTTGTGTTAGGTGGAGTAGTGTAAATCTAAAACATTTAATTTACAGGAACACCTGGATACTAGTATGGCTTGGTATTAACTACAGATGGAATAGATATAAAGAAGAAGTCTAACAAAGAGTACCTCAGTAATACATTGAACTAATCATAATCAGATATTGACTTTAAAATTGAAGTTTAACTAAGAGAATGTGAGATCGGTGAACAATTTACTGTTGCTGGGAAATGCGAAGAATGCTAATAGGGAAATAGTTTTTCATTAGTGAAAATGATTGAGCCTGGACAGTGTTAGACATGCCCGACAGACAAAGCTAGATGCTATGGAGGTACAAATATCGGCCCAAAATATGGCTATTGGAGAAAGAATAACATGACATCATACTTTGTTTAATGCTTATACCTACCAGCTTGCTTAGGAATGCTTCCACCTATTGAAGATCCACGAGGAACTTGCCTATAAGGATATCGAGGAATACTATGCGCAGATTGTTTAAAAGGCTATTCTCGTTAAGGAGATTTTAAGTGCTAAGAATGTCCTGGGGAGGCAGTAAACTCAATTAGATTAGGTGCAATATTTATAGCTTTGATTCTGATGATAGTTTTTGTTGTAAGATCTACTTTGCTAGGAGCTAAGGAAAAGAAAAATGTAACAAGTATATACCTTAAAATTATGATGAATCATCTACAACTGATCATACTTTGCTCATCATTCAATTTTGAATGGCCAAAGTTATTAATAGATTTTTACACAGAAATTAAGCCTGTTGCTCAAGTTTCAACTTAAATATTTTCATTTGATTGCTTCATAGACAAAAGAGAAGATAATGAAGGCTCAGATTAAATTGAGATTGATATATTTAGAATCTTCTTCTAGAAGCTAGTTATACTAGCAGTATTACCAATTATTTTAACAATATGCTCTTGGCTATTCTGGGTGATTTTCCAGAAAATAAAATATTCCTAAGAAAAGTATATTGGCAAAGTAATTACTACACTGATTATTCTATTATTCTTAGTTCACCCAAATATAGTTCAATATATGTTTAGCAATTTTAAGTGTATGAATATAGATGGAGATAGTATGCTTTTGTATGATTTAGAAATTGATTGCTTTGGTGAAACTCATTCTATATTTAGTTTTTTTGTAGCATTACCGAGTATTTTAATTTGGGGACTAGGAATTCCTTTTTTCGCTTTGATCTTATTAATTAAAGTTAAAAATAACTTAGATAGTATAGATGCAAGATAAAAATTAGGATTCCTTTACAGAGGATATAGAAAGAAATATCATTATTGGGAAATAATTATTATGTACAGAAAGATATTGCTAATTTTCATTTCAGTATTTGTGAGCGCTTTTGGAGTAATGGCATAAGCTTTGATAGTTTTTCTAGTTTTTATTTTATTTCTGATTGTTAATTTGAAAACTAAGCCATTCAGTACGATAGCATTAAACGATCTAGAAACTGTATCATTAGTTACATCTATGGTTACTATATATTGTGGTTTATTCTTTATATCTAACACAAAATAAAGCTAGATAGATTTAGACCCTGAGCTAAGTAATAAGGCTTTGTAACTAAGCGACAATGTTCTTTTGGCTCTATTTGCAATAATCTTAATATCTAACTGTATATTTTTCTTCTATTGGCTATACAAGATGTTGTTTGAAGTTAGAGGAAAAATAATGAGATCAATTCCTAAGCTCTATTTATTTTTATGTTCGTGTAATAACTAATAAAAATTTTAAAGAGGCCTCAGACAGCTTTAAATTGATGAAGAAAACGAAACTCTCAGAGAAGAATTCAATAAAAGTAATATTTTTTATAATTTATATTTCAGCTGTTCAAAATATTAAACTTATCTAAAAAGATGGAAGACTCCTTCTAAACAAGAAAAATTTAGAAAAGCTATAAATTTACCTTGATCCTTAAAATATTCTGAATATGGTTCAATCAGAGAAACAAAATAAGATCATTGATCGTAAGATACTAAAAAGAAGTAGTAGGAGGCAGAACTTGAAAGATAATTTAAAGATAATTAAAAATAAATAGGAATCAGATTCTAAAATACACTCTTTAAAAGATGATTCTATCTTTAATAGCTTTGAAAAAGAATTATCTCAAATTACATAGTTAGAATTATTAAACATATCAACAAATGATTTAGAAGAAAGAAAGTTAAATTCATTTAGATATACTACTTAAATCAGTCAGGATAGATTTCTTAATAAAAATAGTTTTAGAAAAAATAGAGCGGTTACTTAAAAGGGATAAGAAAAATTAGGTAATAAAAGCCTTTATTAAAGCCAAAGGCATAGACCATAAAATAAAATTATTGATAATTAAGTTAAAATAATTTGCAAAGAGGAAGCAAATATATTAAGAAGTTCTAATTAAGATTAGATTGATTAACTTAAATAAGGCATTAACACACTCAATAACTATAGAAATTAGGATCTCAAATCCCTCTTCATTAAGTTGATTCAGAGAAACAAAGCAATATAATTTCTGAATCAGACATATTTACAGATAATTGCAATAGCCCAAAACTTCGCTTTGATTTCAAAAATCAAAGTCCTTTTAAATCAGAAAATATATGCGAAGAAGATATTGAGGATGAATTTAATGAAGCTCAAAATGTAAATAAAAATAATTAAATTAGTCAAGAAACTATTAATACTTATGAGAAAAAAGACTGGGATGTATAGGATATACATAATATGCAACAAGTAATTCATATATAAAGAAAAAGGCTAAAAAACAAATCTAGCAGATAGAAAGAAGGATAGCAGATTATTGACAGAATGAAAGCACTAGTGATGAAGAATTAAACAAATGTGAGAAGTCCTAGGAGTCCGAGAAGGAATAATTTATTGGCAGGGCAAAATGATCTATAATAAAAATCAATTACAATTTATGAAATTACATCTCTATCCTCTCAGCAAGTAGACTAATAAGAAAGAATACTAAGTTTCGAGACATCCCCAAAAGACAAGAATAATGAGGAGTAAATTGAAAAGTTCAAAGCCTAGGTACTTCATGATTCGCTATCTTTACCATCTGAGTAAGAAAACTAAGATTTTGATGAAAATGAACAAACTTTTGATTAGCTTATAAGGAAAGGCAATTTTACAATGCAATCAGTTGATAAAATTGATAAAGATTCTCTCCAGTATTCTTCTCTAGAATTAGATGGATTTATCAAGAATAATTTATGAGAATTGTTTAGATTCAGGATTTAGAAATGAGAATATAATATGAAGCTATCAAAACATAATATTTTGACATTTAAATTGATATAATTTTAATTTAATCTTTAAATTGAATCTTCGAATCTGGGGTTTTGGGGTTTTGGGG